CCTCAACTTCCATTCTACACTTTTCCACTCAAACCTCCACTAACAAACTAGTACTACACTCATCAACACGCCTAGACACTGCACCGACCTCCACTCAAGGTCTCACTCCCCCCCGACCGACGCTTCCGGGACAGTGGGGTCCAGGGCTCGAACGACTACCCGAACGTCATTCAATCGAAGTCGTTGGACTACCCTGACCCACCTCCCACACAGCAACTACTCAGTGTCTCCAGCCCCCCCCTTCCAACAACTCCCGAACACTCACTTTCATTATAAACTTTCATTTCGCCACAACTACCCTCGTCACTCCAGTACCGCCTATCCCCCCTACACAGCTCGCAGCCACTCTCCAGTAGTACCTCTATCCCCCTACACCAGCTCGCAGCCACTCGACGCAAACACCTGTATAGACTAAAATGAAATCACTACTTACGTCCACTAGTTTTTCGACAAAGTCATACAGGAGCCATACACATACTCCGTACTAGTTCAAAGTCGTCGCCAGGCTCACTTCCCTCCCGCTACGCCGCGCTACAAGAATTTACTTCTGGACCACTGCACTCCTCCTTCACTCCACCAGCTCTACTACGGTTCCAATGCCTCAACTCACGTCCCAACGGACCCCTCGGTACGCTGACATTCGCTGTTGACATCAGCACCACAGACGGAGGATATTTAGTGAGATGGTTACGGTGAACCCGCATGAAACGTTGTTTGTGGCCTTAAAATTTGGGGCCCGTCGCAGATGCCAGGCCTGTTTAGTTACTGTTCAACTATGTCTTACGGATTTTGCCAAGACTTCTAGCCGTCGATTCGTCCGTACCTTCATTGCGTCGTCGCTGGTGTCTCTTGGTCAGTAAATTTCAGGCTCTTCTACCTCCTACGTCGGTGTACAGTAGACCTAATACCTATACTTAAACGCAATGACCAGACGACAAACGATTGTTAAGACTACATAGTCAAGTCCTTTCTCCCCTGGATATCTTTTAATCTCATTGTACAGGGAATGAGTGACCTTACCCGAAGAAAGGAAAGAACCTGTCCTTCATCATGAGTTCCTCTATAATTCCTTTTACTATGAGGTTTAATATTGGCTTCTCTAATTCACTACCTAGCTTAGCACTTTTTACTTTTGTTGTTATTTTGTTTTACTTGCTTGTAAGCGCTTTGAGCACCAGGAAAAGCACTTTATAAATGTAATGTATTATTATTATTATTACTACTGTGTCACGGAGACAACGGTATTTTGTCGAATGAATCAAGAGACGGTTGGTTTGTGTTTGAGTGTGTCTTTTTGTTGTTTTAAGTCTACTCTAAAACCAAGGTAATAAAACTATAAACCTGAACCTAATGAGGGGCTTAGCAATAAGAGTTGCAAGATATTCATATTGTTTTGCTTTGCAGATTGTGCACAGTGTCCAGCAGAGCACACAATAGTTGTTTGGGTCAAAAATGCATGCCGTTCCCAGCACTCTCCGGGATTTCACATATATATATATATCATTTTAAAGCCCTCATTTTGTGGCTAAGCTACCGACAATTTCGATTTGCATAAAATGTCATGATTTCCTTTTAACTTTTTATTGCTCCGGCTTTTTAGATGATGTCATCCGTTGACTTGGAGTTTTTCTTTTGCTTGAAATGATGGGATACAAAATGTCCAGCAACACAGGCAAACCCTGCAATCTGTCAGTGTGGTCAAGAGCAAGAGAGGGGAAAGAGAGGTGACATGAGAGTGTACATTTAAAGAGGATGTGAGATACTGGCACACAGCGCTGGCAGACAGTTATAACATATAGATTACAACTCTCTTACTGCCCATAATGCACTCTGTTCTATCTACAGACTGTGGGAAGAGAGCCTCTCTGCCTATTTATTGTGTGGTTGGGATTATTGCCAAAAATGTAAGGCACCCAGGCGGTATACTGTAATTGTCACCAACAGTCTACCAGTCGTGTATAACCTTGTAAACGTTTCTCAAGCGTATACTTTTCCTCAGGATATGCGTTTGACGCTGTTTATTGCTTTCAGGTATCATTGGATACGCCCCGTTCATAAACAAGGTTGTTACGCAGTGGAACCTCCATGATAATGATGACGACCAGCTCTTCTACACCAAAATATACGTGGATCCTTTACAGCAAGTAAGTATCTCATGTCAAAGCCAACACTTAATCAGAGATTATATCAATATTACGAACTGGATGGCATAATAATCTACCTTTTCATGTCTCCCAGCACACTCTCAACATGACTTTGGACCACAAGTGCCAGATTTTCCAGAACCTGAACGGGGCCGTTGGTGAGAAATCTGAGAAATGAAATTCAAATAAATGTCCTGCTTATCTGTTTTTTATTTGGCTGAGTTAACTTCAACCAACATGGTACTGTCTTGCTCCTACACTCTGTTAAACGCAACAACAACAACATCTGAGTACTTGTAGGCTTGGCAGTCTACCCTCTAAGTTATAAGCCTTCAAAGCCTCAGCCCATGTGGTGAGTCGATTTACATTTCCTAACCTGAAATGTATCTTGTTCCTCTTTTTGGCAGACGAAGTGCTTCTCAAGTTTGGAACAAACCTCGTAAGAGTTAGAAACACTGTGTACGACTCTCTGCCAGTGGTTGTCCATGGAAACGGAAATACTAAAGTAAGTAAGACACCCTCCGGCACACCTAACACAGCATCCGTATACATACGACATTAGCTTTGTGTTTTATTGTTGAACTCATTTCCATTTGCAGACAAGTTTCTGTTAGCAAAGATTTTCAGCGCACCACTTCAAGAAATATCAAAACTGTGCATATGATAGTTTCCAGTAGTACGGAGCCAGCTCTTTATTCAGTGGAGGTTTGGCTTAAACTATAGGCTGCAAGGCCATGTGGGCGCCATTTTCTTTTCTCCATCACTCTGAGTAAATTACAGTAATGGTCTTGGCACGTTGAAACGCAGGATGACCGTGTGCTATCATGAACTTGTGGAGCTTTTCTCTTTCCCTCCCCCATCTCTTCACACGTCACCACCACCAGCTGCCTCTCTCTGGCCTTCCTTGGTAATGAACCAAACCCGACAAACTATTGAGTCATTATTCCCGGAGCAGCTCAACATCCCAGTAGTTCAGACTCCTTAGCCTAGCTGTGGTTTTGACCGTTTCAGCTGCCTGGCTGGATTACCAACCACTCGTTTATTTTTCCAGTTATAATGTAGAGTTCATCTTGGAAACAATCTGATACTGAGATCTGTTAGCAGTAATGCACGGAAACTACTATCTTCCAGATGAATGTGCAACTTTAGGTTCACACTAAATACAGAGCGTAGATAATAATAGTCCTAATGTTGAATTATGAAGACAACCGAGAAAAAAAGGGAGACGTCTCTATTTCTCTAGGATAGACATGTATGGCACTTTTCTTTTGATCAAATTTCAACAGTAAATTACTCAGTCATATTCCAACCTAGGATAATCCAAACAAATCCTAAGAGATAAGAGAGCTCCACTGAATCACAGAAAATATCTAAAGCTCTTATGCTGATATAAATGACCTGCTCTTAATTCTTTCCTTTACAGATCTACTTGAACCACTTGGCCAACTACGTCCCCAACACATGGAACTATGAGCATGGCTGCAGCCACTGTGACGACGACATTCTGGATTTACCTCAGTTAAAAGTAAGGGGCGATTCAATTAAATCATTTCCCATCTATTTGCTTTGTTGAAACTGTGTATCAGTCCACCCCCCCGCGGGCACAGGAAAGGCTCAGATATGTCTTGGTCTTCCAGCATGACCCATCCATCTATCAGTGACCGTCTAGACAGTCGGGGCGGTGCCCAGCTTGTCCCATTTCAACAGATATGCTCTTTCAAACGGTGCTGCACACACTGCCTTCCCAACAATAATAGGTTGCATGCCCGCTGGTCCTTTTGGACCCTTTTAACAGAGCATACGTGCCAGGGGAAACTACTTGGAGGAAAGAGGAAGCATTGCAGTGCTGTGGTGCAGGATATGGCTTCTGGGGTTTTAAGAAGGGCTCATTTAAAGGGGTGTCACTGTCAACCAGCCTGCCTTTTAGTGGGCTTCTCAGTATGGGTTTTATCCACCATAGTAAGTTAAGTGGTTACGCTGGAAATTTGATACGGGGTTCAGCACAGGCCGGGACGTATAGCTGCAGGAATGGCAGGCACTAGAATATGTCTCGGTCAACAATATTGTGAAACTTTAATTCAGTTTTTTCTGTTTATTGCAAATGAGTTGAATCCTGTTCAGTGTCACAAAGTGTACCCCGTGCACTTAGGTTTTTTTTCCTTTACAAACACAATGTATATCACATATGACTGAATCCTGTATCTTATTACCTTTCCTGCAATTCTAATAATAATAATAGATTTAATTTGTTAGCGCTTTTACAGGTGCTCAATATAGTGAAGAGAAAAGAAAAGAAAGGAACGACAAATAAATATATAGTTAAAGTTAAAGTCAAATAATGCAAAAACAATCACACATGAAAAGCCAGATTGAAGAGGTGAGTGTTTGTGAGTGTTTTGAAGGTGGTGAGGTCGGTGCAGTCTCTGATGGGTTGTGGGAAGTGAGTTCCAAGAGGGAGTGGGCAGCGACCGGAGAAGGCTCCTGTCCCCCCAGGTCCCGTAGTTTCTGTACGGCTTTTACATTCTGGTACGAGGCCTT